GGTAGAGCACTTAGCAAGCACAAGACCCTGAGTTCAATACCAGTACTGCAAAAAAAAAAAAAAAACAAAAAAAAAAACTGTAACTTTTTTGAGGTGTAATTTACATACCATCTGTAATTCCTACTTTAAATATACAACTTAGTGATATTTTAGTAAATTTACTAAGTTGTGCAAACATTACCATAAAGCAGTGCTAGAGCATTCCATCACCCCAGTAAAGTCCCTAGGATATACTTGCAGTCTCCCTGTAGCCCCAGGCAACCACTAATCTACTTCTGTCTCTATAAATTTGCCTTTTCTGAACATTTTCTATAGGTTGAACTCTACAGTGCTCAGGTTAGGAGAAGCTTTTTCTGTGTTGAAGCAGGCCTTGGGACTCCATTCCTTTTTTATTGCCAAAGAGTATTCCAGTATATGGACAGAACCCATTTTGCTCATCCATGTATTAGGTGATGGATGGTTCTGATTTTTGGCTCTTTTGAGTCATGCAGCTAAGAACATTTGTGTGCAGATCTTTGTGTGGATCAATGTTTTTGATTAGATACTTAATTTGGGGGTCATATGGAGACATTTTAAAGAAGTGACTGTACTATATTCCATCCCACAGCTGTGTTTAGAGACTGCTGGTTCCAGTACTTGCTGTCTGTCTGGTCATGGAGCGACATCTCACTGTGGTTTTGATTTGTATTTCCCTGATGACTAGTGATGCTAAGCATCTTTTTCACATGCTTTTAGCCATTCGTGTATTTCTTAGGTGAAAAGCTTATTTAAGCCTTTTACCTATTTTTTTGATTCAGTTGATTGTCTAATTGAGGCACAAGGATTCTTTGTATCTGGATACAAGCCCTTTGTCAGAGATGTATTTTGGAAATCTTTTCTGTTAGTCAGTTGCTTGTCTTCATATTCTTTATGGTGTCTTTCCCTTTTTCTCTTTTGTGATGCTGGGGAATGGAACCCAGGGACTTGCACGTACCAGGTGAGTGCTGTACCACTGGGTGATCCCCCAGTCCTTTCAAAGACACATTAAAAGTGTCTCTTGAGGCACTTTAGTTTTAAATTTCAGTGAGGTCTGATTCATCTTTTTTCCCTTTTATGGTCCATGCTTTTGGTCATAGCTACAACGCCCCTGCAGACACATCACCTACGTTATCTTCTACAAGTTGAACTGTGACCCTTACATTTAAGTCCACCATCCATTTTGTGTTAGTTTTTGTTTATTTTGCAGCACTGGGGTTTGAACTCAGGGCCTCATGCTTGCTAGGCAGGTGCTTTTATCACTTGAGCCAGTCTGCCAGTCCTTGAGTTAGTTTTTGTGTATGGTGTGAGATAAGGGGCCCGCTCATCTTTTTGTGTGTGGATATGTAAGTCATTCCAGCCTCGTTGGCTGTAGACGGTCCTCCCCCCCCAGTATAGTTTTGAAATCAGGAGGTGAAAGGCCCTCCACCTTTGTTCTTTTTCAAAATTGTTTTGTCTATTCTAGGTCTTTTGCAATCCTATGTAAATTTTTTAATCATTCTTATCGATTTCTGTAAGAGAAACCTCCTCATCTTTTTTTAATTTACATCTTTCCAGTTTTAAATTTTCTGGTCCATGAATATGAGATGTCTCTCCACATATTCAGATCAGCATTAATCAGTGTTCTGTCACTATAACAAAATACCAGAGATAATTAGCTTATAAGGAGAAAAGGTTTATTCTGGGCCAACCATTTTAGAGGTTCTAGCCCATGATCAGGGGTCCATTGCTTTTAGGCTTCTAGTGGGGGTGCCATTTTGTAATGGTGGGAGTGTGTAGTAGCACAAACTGCTCAACTCATGGCCAGGAAGCAAAAGAGAGGAAGAAGAAGGGGTTGGGGCCACAGTCCCCTTCAAGGGCACAGCCTCAGTGACCTGAAGAGTTTTCACTAGGCCCCACCTCCTAAAGGCTCCACCACCTCCCAGTTGCTCCTCTGTAGGGAACAAGCCTTTACACATGGGCCTTTTGGGGGCATTTAAGATCCAAACATAGCAGATTTTTAATTCCCCTCCCCATATTTTATAACTTTCATTGTACAACTCTTACACTTCTTTAAAAAATGTACTCCTTCTTTAAAAAAAAGTATTCCTGCCTTTCGAACAGGAGAAATAAGTAGGGTGGGTGTCTTGTTCACTTCCACTTTCAGCACAGGAGTAGGATAACTCTAACATAACATGGCTTGGTTTTTTTCTTACTAAAGAGTAAACAAATGTAACATGTATTTATAACACATTTGTACAATTTTAAGAGTAAGAGTAAAGAAAATGCCTGTGTGCCTTGCCCCAGCTAAATAAAAGGAAAATCACTAGTGCTTTGTCCCCATCAAATGGAATCCCCCTCCCTTTCCTCTAGGGAGCAGGCTCCTGATTTGTTTGTTGCTTGCTGTGTAGTTATACAGGGTATTTAGTTGTGAACAGTGTACACCTCTGTTAGGCTGTTTGAGCTCTGTGTAAGTGCAGTCAAGTGACTTGTTCTCTTTTCCCTGTGTGCCTCAGCTTTGTCAGTTTTGCAGCTAGGCTGTGTCTTTCATTCACTTTTAGGCACCCCACTGATGTAAGCATAGGACAGGTCATTCTTCGTGCTGGTGACAGTCACTGGGCTTGCTTTGGGGTTTTGCTGTTGCCATGATGCTGTGAGCAGACACCGGCTGGGTGTCTGCTGGTGTTTCCCAGTGTAGGCAGGAGAAGCTGGGGCTGGAGGGTGTGTGTTCCAGCCTGATTGACAATGCCAACACGTGTCCCCAAGTGGAGGGCCAATTCCACTGTACTCATGACAGGGTGTATTAGTTTCCTGTTGCTGCGGTAACAACTCACCACAAATTCTGTGGTAAACAACACACACTTATTATCTTCCAGTTCTGGAGATGAGACGTCTGAACAGGTCTCTCTGGTTCATCAAAGTACTGACGGGTGCTGTGCTTAAGGGTGGCTCATCTGTTTCCTTGCCTTTTCCAGTTTGTAGAGGCCACCTGCATTCCTCACAGGCACAGCCCTTCTTCAATCTGCAAAGCCAGCAAGGGTCAGCAGAATCCTCCTTGCTTGGACACGGGCTCCTGTCTCGCTCTGCACATAGACAACCTGTGTGCCTGTGTTCTCTGGAGTAGTCCAGGGAAGACCCCCCCTATCTCCAGGCCAGTTGACTAGCAACCTTAAGTCCATCTGCTGTATTAATCCACCTTTGCCAGGTTTTGGGCAGTAGGTTGTAGAGATATTTGGGGCAGGGGGGAGGGGAGTCTTGTTCTGTCCATCAGAGCTGGTGTTTGAAGGCCCTTATTCTTCTATAGAATGTAACAAACACCACATAATGACATTTCAGTTAGCAACTGCTGTCCCAATATTAGATTGTCTAGTGACACAGTTTCTGGCTTAGTTCGTATAAATGCACTTTATGACATTTACAGCAACAAAAACACCTAATGATACATGTCTTAGACCATGCCCCATCCTGAAGTGACAGATGACTGTGTACATAAGATATTTAGGGACTAGTGAATGATCCTGGTTAGACTGTCAATCCCTGGGCCTCTGTAAATTTAATGACTTCTCTATTGCCTCTGCATGAAGCAGTTATCAAGCTCTGGAGTCAGTGCTTGGGTTAGGTCGGGCATGGTAGTGCATGCCTGTAATCTCAGCTACTCCTGAGGCAGAGATGGGAGGCTCATGGTTCCTGGCCAGCCCGGACAAAAAGTTAGCAAAACCCTATCTCTTAAAATAAGCTGAATGCGGGGACACGTGTCTGTGGTTCCAGCTATTTGGGAGTCAGAAGTAGGAGGATTGTGGTCCAAGGCCAGCATGGCAAGTTGGCTCAAGACTATCTGAAAAACAAACTAAAAAGGTCTGGGGGACATGGCTCAAGTGGTAAAGGCCTTAATTCAAATTCAGTATACAAAACCAAAAAAATCCCCAACAACGCCACGCGCTGAGTGTGACTCTGACAGGACACCTCCCTTCCCTCAGCTGCTGTTTGCCCATTAATAAAATGGGCTCGTGACTTTTATCCCCTAGGGTTGCTGTGAGGACTGAATGAGAAAACAACACATCAGGTCCTAGTTCAGGGCTGGACATTTATTCAGTCATCTATCCATCCAGCAGCTGCTGAGTGCCAGTCCTGGGCCTGCCCACTCAGCACTCAGAGACTGTACACTGAGGCAGAAGTTCATTCCTGTGGAGCATGTGCAGGCAGAAGCCAGGCTTGGTGTTTGACAAGTTTTATTTCCATTGCGTGGTCTGTGTCTTCCTGAGGCAGGCCTTCCCTCCATGCTTACTTAGGCCTCTGTTCCAGGAAAGACACAATTAGCTGGAAGCAGAAAGTTGGGCAACATTTCACATGATTTCCATGTTAAGTGAAGTGAGTGTGTGTCATCTGAAATAAGGAAGCTGTGTGTCTTCTCCCTTGAGTGGGTTAGGAATTGCACAGGGAAGTTTTCCGTCCACCCTATTATTGTCTCCTTTTGAATTATTGGGGTTTTTTAAACTAAAGAGCACCTTTCTCAATACAGTTCTGGAGCTGGGCTTTTGAGCCTTCACTCAGTTCTCTCAACGGTGGCCATGGCAGATCCGAAGTACTCAGATTGGACGAGTCCTGTGTGATGCAAAACTGTGCACAGCTGGTTTATCTTTTTGACTCATTCTTGATTTGAGAACTAAATTTTGTTTCAGACTTTTACATGGTCTGGAAAGTGAAGTCACTTAGGACTTTCAAAGGCATCTGTTATCTGCACACACAGTAGTGTGTATGTGCTTGCTTGCACACAGGAGCACCGACTTCCTAACAGTTAAGAGTTTGGATAATTGGGGTGGGTGAAAAAATGTAAATGTATGTTTTGAAAAAGAAAAGAAAACTTAACAGCTTAAGAACTTAACTAGTAGGGATCCATTCACACAGCAAGCCTTTCTAGACACAGAACATGGGTGGCTCACTGGAGCTCCAAAACGTTTGGTTTCCTCCCTGGCAGAATCTAACCATGACTAAATCACTTTTCCCAGGCAGATGCATGTCACGCCTATCAGATCATCCACCGGAATGGGATTCCCGATGAGCAGATCATTGTGATGATGTATGATGACATCGCCAACTCCCAAGAGTAAGTAGGGAGTACCTTGAACTTGGTGTAAGAATGTCAACGTGTTAAAACTACCAGCACCTCCAGACTCACAGGGCTCCTTCCACAGTGGCCTGACATGCAGGGTGGCCTCATGCTGGCCTTTGTCTTGGTGGGGAGGGAAATGGGTGGCGCAGGGTACTGTGAAAGGGTGGAAGCCTGAGGACCTTTTCAGGGTGTAGAGCTGCTCCCTGGGTTCTGCAGAACCTGTTCCTAACCTCCATGCTGGGACGGCAAGGGGCCATTTGCAGAAGGCTTGTTTGTAGGTTAGACCCTACTGCCCTCCTTTATTCTGATTTACTTTTATGGGTCTCTCATGCCCCCATATCTGAGTCTGGCACTAAGCTCAACAGGACCAGTTTCCCCTGCTCCCAGTGCTCTGATGAGGCCCCGCAGAGATGCTTCCTGGTGCTGAGATCACATCTGGTTCCCGCAGAATCCATCCTGCGGCTTTACAGCCTGGGTGTGTGTTCGTGTCTTGCTTTCCGTTCTGTCATTTTCTAGGCAGGTGCTTTGCTTTTTCTTTCCTTCCTTCCCTCTCTCCTCCCTCTCTCCTCCCCTCCCTCCCTTCCCTTCTTTCTTGTACTGGGGACTAAACTCAGGGCATTGTCCTTGCTAGGCACATGCTCTACCGTTTGAGCTACATTTCCAACCCTTTTGTTTTTATTTTGTTTTTTGAAATAGGGTCTCACTAACATTTTCCTAAGCTGGTCTTGAACTCTGTCAATCCTTCTGTCTCTGCCATTCCTAGTAGCTAGGTTTACAGGCATGTGCCACCACACCTGGCTTTGTTAGGCACTCTTACTGCTTGAGCCACTCGACCAGTCCTAATGTCTTTTTTTTTTTTGCAGCCCTGGGGTTTGAACTCAGGGCCTTATGCACACCTGGCTTTGTTTTGAACCCAGGGTCTTATACATGCTAGGCAAATGCTCTTAGCACTGAGTTACATCCCCAGCCTTGCCCTGTTGTTTCTGAGAGGATTTTTGCCCTGAGTGATCTTTTCCACAAGATACTGTCTGGTGTCCAGCAGGCAGGAGGCCTCACTTTTGTTCCCCGTCCTGGTTTTGTAGAACTCTACCCCTCTCTTCCCCCTGACAAGAGTTTCTGGGTTGTGGGACCCCGAGTTCCCCAAACCACACACACTGGTGACCACGCAGTGGTGTTTGACATAGCTGTTTGTTTGTTTTTTTAAGATAATAGGTTGTATTTTGAAGAGGGATTTCAGAGATATGACATATTTTGTTTCAGCTGTGTCCTTTCATTTTCAGTAACCCAACACCAGGAATTGTGATCAACAGGCCCAATGGCACGGATGTGTATAAGGGAGTCCCAAAGGACTATACCGGAGAGGTGAGCGCAACCAGGACTGGGACCCTGGGTTTTCTCTTTGCTTCATTGATGATTTTCCCCTTTGCTACACTGATTTCTGGTCAGTGTTTCATTTTTGTATTAGTATTTGTGGTTAAGGAGTAAATTATAATAGTTTTCTCTCTCTCTGCGTGTGTGCACGTGTGTGTGTGTGTATTTCTGTGTGTGTAGGACCGTGCTGAGGATGGAACCCAGGGCCTCACACATTCTAGGCAAGTGCTCTACCACTGAGCTCCATCCTCAGCATTATTTTTTCTTTCTTTCCTTCCTTCCTTTCTCCCTCCCTCCCTTTCTTTTTCTTTCTTTCTTTCTTTTTTTTTTTTAATATTTTGAGATGAGGTCTTGAACTGTAGCTCGGGCTGGCTTCAAACTCTTGGGCTTAGGTGACCCTACTACCTCACCCTCCCAAGCTGCTGGGGTTACAGATGCGCCACCCTAGCCAGCTCAGCAGTGAGATCTTTGAAAGAAAACAGAGGGGAAAAAAGGAAAATGCTCAAAATAAGTTGTAGTTTACTGATTTTTAGTTTCTAGTTTTTGCATACTTTAAGTCAGGTAATGTATTTCCTTCATTAATAACCTATTTTCTCGAGGTATTTCTGTTAATCTGATTATATGTTCTTTTTTTTTTTTTTTTAGTAGGACTGGGATTTGAACTCAGAGCTTTGCACTTGCAAAGCAAACACTCTACCGCTTGAGCCACACCTGTGGTCCATTTTGCTCTGGTCATTTTAGAGATGGGTTCTCATGAACTATTTGTTGGGGCTGGTCTCAAACCTTGGTCCTCCCAATCTCAGCCTCCTAACTAGATAGGGTTACAGGTGTGAGCCACTGGCGCCTAGCTGTCTGAGCTATTTTTATGAAAATTGTTTTCTTCAACACTCAAGGCTAGCGCAAACTATTTCAGGATTTTTCTGAAGATAATATATAATAATATAAGTACTATAATAAGCATGTAACTTCCAAAAAGTTTTATATTCCTGCAAGGTGATCAAGACTGTTTAAGTCGACAGGTTTAAGAACACCATAGTGACTTCATTCTTGATTCTTATTTTTTTAATTGCAGAAGGGTCTCTTAGTAAGTAATATGCTTTCTGATAAAGAAGCATTCACCTGAAATTTAGCATTTCTTTGTTTTCTTTCATTTTTTTCTAAGTTCAAATATAATAAAATTGATCATATCACATATGTAATATGGTGATCAGTGTTTATGAGATTTTTGTTGTCTTTTCCCTTTGTACATTTTTTGGGGGGGGTCACTGGGGCTTGAACTGAGGGCCTCATGCTTGCTAGGCAGCCACTCTGCTACATGAGTCGCTCTGCCACACCTTTTTTTTGTGATGGGCTTTATCAAGATAAGGTCTTGGGAACTATTTACCCAGGCTGGCTTCAAACTACACTCTTCCTGCTCTTTGTCTCCTGAGTAGCTGGGATTATAGATGTGAGCCACTGGGGCCCAGCTCCCTTTGTACTTTTTTATATTGCTTTTAATGATTGAGTATCAATTTTACAATTTCTCTCTAAGGACATCAAATGTCCTGGGGCCTCAGCCTCTGAGGCAGCAAGCTGGATGCAAAAGGAGGGCCCATCACTCTGGTTTCTGCTGTCTGCTGTTTGGCTCTCCAGCTGCGGAGTTCTCTTCCTCTGCTCTTTTCCCCATCAGCGTCTCTGGGTTTCTACTCGACTTCATAGTGGTCAGGAAGGAATGGCAGGCTTGCTGAGTTGCCATTTGTCAAAAACCAAGAGGGCAATTGCACACAGGTTGTACACGGGACCTGAGAACTTCCTGGTCCTGTTCTTCCTGGTCCTAGAGTTGCTCTTGAACCTGGAGGTGTGTGGCTGATGGCCTCGGCTCGCTAGGCTCTGGGAACAGTCTGCTTGGGGCTGCAGCTGCATCTGATTTTGATTTCCGATCCCCTGTAGGATGTTACCTCACAAAACTTCCTTGCTGTGCTGAGAGGTGATGCAGAAGCTGTGAAGGGCAGAGGATCTGGAAGAGTCCTGAATAGGTAACGCCGTCTGTTTGATGGACACCACAGTCCCTCAGCGCAGGGCATTTGAACGGGTGCTGTCTTGGCTCCTGCTCACCTGTGAGGAATTACAGCATACGGAGCTGTGTCCCGCACAAGGGTGAGGTTCCAGTGGCTTGTCTTATCTCAATGACGCATCTCTGTGCCTCTAGGATTCAGGTCCCTCACTTTTTGTTTGGTTTTGTGGATTGAGGACTTCACTCAGGGCTTTGTGCATGCTAGGCAAGTGCTCGCTACCTCTGAGCTACATTCCCGGCTCTTTTTATTTTATTTATTTTATTTTATTACTCTTTGAGGCAGGGATCTTGCTAGGTTGTCCAGGCTGGCCTCACACTTGCAGCCCTCCTGGCTAGGCCCCGTGAGTAGCTGGAATTACAGGTGTGCATCTCCACTCCTGTCCCTCACTCTTCTTAATAAATGTTCCCTGTCATAAATCCACTGTTCTTTGTTGTCTGGATCATAGTGCTGGCCTGTTGCATGACTATGGAACACACTGAGCCAGGTGTGTATCTCCAGGAACTAGTCAGGTTGTGGGGCCCCAGCCTGCCACCCACCTGTGCCTTGATCACAAGTCAAACCCCAGGGAGAGGACTAATGATTGTTTTGGAGAAAACTAACCCCAATGCCTGCCATGCTGGATGTGGGCTAGAAATGTCTGAATGCTTAGTATCTCTTTATGAGGTGTCTGAGACTCTAGCACATTTCTTTCATGCTGGAGTTAAGCTTGTGTGAGTTAGAACGTGGATGGATTCTATGCAGGGAGAACAGAATTGGCACCCTGCGGTCGTGACACTGTGCCCTCTGGAGCCCTGGGCTGGAGGACAGGCACATCTGAGAGTCTGTGGAGGCTACAAGGTTGCTGGGCTGTGTGTCCTGCCTCCCTTACTCATTTGGGGTGATCTGGTTGGAGACTGTGGCTGCTGTCCACAGTCCACTGTCCAGATCACACCTAGGGTGTGTAAGGTTCCCAGCAAATTTCCCTTCTCCTTTTCAGCTGTCAGTCAGAGTTGTGAGGCTCTGGAACAAAGCTTGCGGTAAAGAGGAACACTCGGGGGGAGCAGAGGGACGAGGCCTTGTGTTCCTCTGTGTCCTTGTTGGGCAACCAGGGTCCTCACCCATCCTCTTCACTTTTGATGAGGGTAACTTTTCAGAGATAGAACTGGAAAGCCGTTGGCCTCTGGCTCTCATTATCTGTTGTTCTGTCTTGGCAGCGGCCCCCAGGATCACGTGTTCGTCTACTTCACTGACCACGGAGCTACCGGAATACTGGTTTTTCCTAATGATGATGTGAGTTTTTCTTACCATTTTGATCTTTGGACTTCCCCCCCGCCCCAGTGCTGGGGATCAAATGCAGGGCTTCATGTGTTAGGCATGTGCTCAATCACTGAGCTACATCAACAGAAATTTTTCTTAGCATTTTAAAGGCAAACTTAGAAGATGTGTTGGGGTGAAATCCAGGGTTTGTTTTCTAAAGCCCCTACTAGGGCTGGTTTGTCCATAGGCTTGGGGACAAGCGTACCAGCCTGAAGTCCATCCAAAGACAATTCTCCCAGGGGTGTCCCCTGCATTTTTCTTCCTGTCACAGCAGCTGTCACAGGACAGGGTGTGTCACACTAGGCACAATAGAACAGTCTCTGAGTAAAAGCAGATTCTTTTCCCTTTTTAAATATGTGGACCAACCACTCAAGGACTCTCCTGGAGATTGATTGTACTGTCCCTGTGGTTACTTCTGAATACTGGCTAATAGGAATTTATAAAGAGTTACTGATAGGGAATTCCCTAAGTGGCCTTTCTTGGTGTGTTGGTCTCAGTGCCACTGTTCTAACCTTTCAGCTTCACGTCAAGGACCTGAACGAGACCATCCACTACATGTATGAACACAAAATGTACCAAAAGGTAACATCTGCCCCTGGGTGGCCTTGGGGAAGAGTGTGGGGAGGGCAGCAGAAGCAGAGCCGACAGGGGTGCGACTGGCCTCCTCATTTGGTGGCCAGGTTTTCTGGGAAGTGTTTCTTCTGGTCAACTTTGATTAACTATTTGTGCTTCTAGGGCTTTAGTGATTTGATGAGATTCATAGAGCGCCTGTTAGGACACAGGGAGAATGCTCACAGCGAGTATGCTCGCCCCCAGGATGGACCCAGCAGGGCTAGGGAGAGGCTGTGATTTAGTCACTGCAGGGCTGGGGACTACACTTTGATGACTGCTGTTCCTAGGACTATCTCCAGTTCGGGACAGTTAAGGAACATGCCACCATCTTATGTTATTTCCCTTTGGCCTCCTTGTCCCTCTCCTGTCCTCTGCCCAGAGTGAGTGGACAAGGTGGACATGTGGGAAGATGGGCTATCCTGTTGACTTCGCTCTTTGGAACTGCTCCTGTATCAGATGGTGACACTGCATTTTTTGCATTATGTCAACTAGTAGATCAATTTATTCCATTGGGGATGAATAAATTTGGCTCCTGGTCAAATGGCTTCTGCAGCCTCTGGCAACAGCCTCTTATAGCAGCAAGGTCTCCCAGCAGCTGAAGTGAAAGGCTCAGAAGTGTGGGTGGAGGGGTGGAGTGCCATGGCCACGCAGGAGCTCACTGTCTCATGCCTTGCAGATGGTGTTCTACATTGAGGCCTGTGAGTCTGGCTCCATGATGAACCACCTGCCCCATGACATCAATGGTAGGTGTGCGAGCACTGGCCTCTGAGCCAGGCTGCCAGGCAGGTGGTGCTCGGTTGTCCTCAGACACTGCACACCAGAATCGAGCACTGTACGTGAGCAGGACTGCTGAGGGCAGCCTGGTACAGACCTGGGGCACATTTGCTGAGGTTCTGGCTTCCTCTACTCCTTGAGGATCTGTAGTCAGGAAATGCAGAAGCCATGTGTGAGCTGCAAAGTGTCCTTCCTGGTTCTAGCAAAGCTGCTTAAGTTCAAAGCCAGCTGTGGTCCACTGTGATCCGTTGTACTGATTCTCTCATCTCAGGCAGGTGACTTACCGTCTTTGACCCTCAGTTACCTCCATCTGCAAAATGGGGATAAAGACAGTGCTTATGTGTTGGAAGAGTGATGTTTTATTTTTATTCTTTATGATTGAATTATCTTTTAAAACAAATTTTTACATTTTTATTAGCGTATATTAGTTGTACAAAGGAGTTTCATTGTGAGATTTCCATACGTGTATACTTTGGTCAAGTTCACCCCCTCCATTATTCTTTCTCAGTCCCCGCCCCCCGCCAAGAGCTGCATTTTTTGTTGTTTTGCTTTTGTTCTTTTTATTGGTACTGGGGTTTGAACTTGGCCTTGCCTTGTAGGTAGGTGCTTTACCACTTAAGCCATGCCCCCAGTCCCCAAGACTTGGGTCTTGAATGATGCTATGTGTCCAGCAGTATTCTGAACCCATGGTAGATAGCGACTACATGGTAAGTATAAAGGTTCTGTCCAGTTAAGTGGGTTTTTATTTTTCAGTTCCCTTCCTTTGTTCCTTCGTTCCTTCCTTCCTTTATTTTTGTACTAGGGATTGAACCCAGGACCCTGTGTGTGCTTTTATTACTTGAGCTACATCTTCAGCCCTAATTTTATTTTCATTTAATTTTTTTTTGTGGTTCTGGGGATGGAACCCAGAACCTTGTACCTGCTTGGCAAGTGCTCTAGCTACCGTGATACACCCCCAGTCCTCATCTGAGAATTTTTAAAATAACTTCCTCTAGGACTCAGGTTAGGTCCCTAATTTTTAGAGCTTCCTGAGCTATTAAAACCTGTCAGCATTCTTCCAAAATAGTATGATGTCCCAAGCCTGAGTGCTTGCTTATTGTTACTGGCTTTTGTCTTCCATATTTAATTTGAGATGAATTATTGTACCAAGTGGACCAGGCTGGCCACAGTTACAACCATCTCCCTGTGCTGAGCCTTGAGCTCACCAATGGGGAAGGAATGACCCCAGCTGCAAGGGCAGTCCAGTCAGGAACAAAATGTGACTCAGTGAGACCTTTAATTCCTCATAGTTTATGCAACTACTGCCGCCAACCCCAGCGAGTCGTCCTATGCCTGCTACTATGATGAGGAGAGGGGCACCTACCTGGGCGACTGGTACAGTGTCAACTGGATGGAAGATTCAGATGTGGTGAGCCCCTTGTGGGGACTGCCTCCTTACTGTGGTTTCCATACCAGGCTCTGGTCCTTCAGGGACAGCCATGCTTTCCCTTTTGCAGGAGGATCTGACCAAAGAGACCCTTCACAAGCAGTACCAGTTGGTGAAGTCCCACACCAACACCAGCCACGTCATGCAGTACGGAAACAAAGTAAGTTGAGGCCTCTGCTCTCGCTCTCTATTCCTCACCCCAGGTGAACTCACCTGGAACTTTGTTGCTTGGAGAAGAGAAATGGGATTCTGGTGCAGAATGGCTGACATTTGACATGGGGATGGCTGCTTTATTTGACAACTCTAGAGGTCCTGGGGACCTTATCAAGCCTTGCTAGGCTCAAACTTGCACTTTGGGCAAGTGATCTAACCTCTCTGAACCTGTGTCCTCCTTGGGCAGAACCGTAGCCCACAAGATAGCCCACACAGGAGAAGGCCTCTTACACATGAGAGGCATTAAACGTGAGCCTGGCAGATGGTAAGAGGTACTGAGACTAAAAGCACTTTCAAGCTCTGTGGCCCTGTCCATGGAGACCCACACTTTGCACTCTTAAAGTTCCTGCCATACTCCAAACTGCAAGATACTTTGTGCCTTTGGCTGTGAATTAGAGATGTCCCCTCCCACCATGTCCACCAGGGATGAAGGTGGTCAGATAGGTCAGTTCCCAGGCGCTGTCTGTGGCAGGCTTGTAATTTCCTGAGCCTCTGGGCAGGCCCCTGACATGTCCACACTTACTGCAAAACACGCACCAGCTTCCAGTCCACCAGCTGAGATGTTTTCCCTGTGCACAAGCACCAGCCTTCTAGAATGCAGGAGGCAAAAAGTCAGCTCTTCCCTGGGGAGCGTGGCTGGGGGCTGGGAGCCTGTCAGCCAGTGCAGCCAGTGGAGCAATCACAGGATGTGAAAAGAGTCCTCAGGACAATGTGGCCTGGTGGGGCATTTGAGCACCCATAGGAGAGAACTGGGCAGGGCAAAGGCAGGAGAGGTAACTCTGGGAAGGCACTGTCCTGCTTTGTGGACCCTGTTTCAGGCCTCCCTTACCCTGTAGGGTCCTCAGGGTCACCATTTCTGGTCTTGGTAGGTGAGGTGTGATAGATCTTTTCAAAACTTTCTGTGTTTATGTATATTTGTGATTTTAGCTTTCAGTTTTAGAAGTGTTGCTTTCTTGGGGAACAAGATGCTTGCAGCTCTCTTTCCCAGGGTTGGGGAGCCAGTCTGCAGGGGCCTGTGCAGGCAGACAGAGCCTGGCCGTTGTGGCCTCTTGTTGGCTTCCCTGTGGTCCTAGCTCTGCCCTTCATACTTTGGCTCTGACTTGGACAAATGCTAGGCACCTCCCTATGACTGGTTCTTGGGAATAGGTGGGGGAGCAGGGGGAGTTAGCACAGTCTAGGACTGTAACAAGTCGAAACACCTCTGGTCTAAGCTCCACTTAACTGTGGATTGGCAGCTGTGTTGGCATGTGGAAGAAGAGCAGACATTGACTGCAAAGCATGCTGGGCATTTTTGAAGTTCCTCATTAGTAGATTTCAGGTGCACCAATGTGCCACCTTGCCTACTGCTGGGGACTGACCACCTGTTTTCAGGCTGTAATTGGGGCACTTCCAAGGTCCTAAAACTGTGGGAGTGAACTGTGAGTGTCCCACGGAGGGGCCTGGTCCAGGACACATTTGGCACGTCTGCCCTTTCCACCTAAACTGATTTTCTCTCTCTCTCTCTCTCTCTCTCTCTGCAGTCCATCTCTGCCATGAAACTGATGCAGTTTCAGGGTATGAAACACAGAGCCAGCTCCCCTATCTCCCTGCCTCCAGTCCCACACCTTGACCTCACTCCGAGCCCCGAGGTGCCCATGACGATCATGAAGAGGAAACTGATGCGTGCCAATGACCGGGAGCAGTCCTGGGCTCTCATTAAGCAGATCCAGCAGCATCTGGATGTGAGTAGTAGTAAAAGGGACCCTTCCGGGCACGTGCCAGCCGTGGTGGCGGCATCCCTGCCTCCTGTGTCTGCAGCACTGCTCTGAGCTGACAGAACTCGGGTTGCCCCCTCCTCACAGGGGACTGTGTAGAAAAGGAAGCCTGCTCCATGTAAAGTAGAAGCAAGTGGGTACAGCAGAGTTTGACCCCAGTCTTCAGTGATAAGCTAGCCTTGACCTCTTCAGGAGGATGGAGCCGCGATTGGGGGTTCTTCTTCCCCATATCCTGCCAGGAAGCCATGGCATATGGGTGGTTTCCTCTTACATACCTTTTTTGCTTAGAAGACATTTTTATTTTGCTGCCTGTTGACTTAGTCATTTTTTTAAAATCCAGTCTACAAAATTTTCTGCAGTCTGATGCAATCATGGTCTTAGTCAGAAGTTCCTCCTAAAATGCTTATGTTGTCCTTTGTGACCGCCAAGCCTGTTTTCAGTGGCCCCTCAGTGGTTTGGAGTTGCACAAGTATTTTCAAATCATAGCTGTGCACTCACTGGAATGACAGGCAAGAAGGTGGCCTGTCCCTTCCATCAGAGCAGCTCTGTGTTAGTGCCAGTCCCCAGCCAGCACAGCACAGTGATAGATACACTGAAATACAGTCTGGATTGTCTAGGAAAGATTTTAAAACAGATGTATTTGTTTTGAATGCATTTGTTACATTATCCCAAAGGTGAGTACTCCGTGTGTGACACCCAAGAAGCCAGGACTTGTTTTGAGCAAGTGTCTGACACAGTGTGACACAGTGGTCCTCATGCTTTTTAGTCCTGGGCCTCTATTGATCCCAGAGGGCTTTTGTTTATGGTGAGTTTTGTCTGTTGATATTTACTGCATTCAAAATTCAAATGACATAGAATGGCATTTTGTCTTTAACCTTTGGATAGTTCATAGAAACTAAACCAGGGCTTTCTTGTGCTGGCTTGCACAGCTGTGTAAACCATCCAGGGTTTCTCTGGTACCTCCTACAAATTTGAAAATTATTTCCAAGCCTAACACTTCTTACTGATTCATCTTTCCTGCTAACTGTTACATCATTGCATTTTTATGTGAAATAAAGAATTGTTTTAAAAATCAAAAGAGATTTAAAATATGTAACTCATTCAGAAATAACCATAAGAAACCCATTTCGGCCAGCACTTGGGAGAGGCAGGAGGATCATGAGTTTGAGGCCAGCCATCTCAAGACAAAACAAAAAGAAAAGAAACCCATTTGTATTAATGTGTTTTTATGAAAGTCATTTCCCAAAACAGAAGAGCTGCATTGCTCTTTGCAGACGTCTCTTGTGCAGAACTTAAACTTCCTGATCCTTGTACCTGCTATTGCATTCACTCCATGGGGCTCTGTTGCTTTGGCTGGATCATAAGAAGTGAGCCCAGCTTTACACAGCTACATAGTTGAGAATGGAAAGGCCTATGGGCCCACAAGAGCTCTGGGGGCACCATGGCTTTGGAGCACATGCAGGCCCAGCACCCGGGGCAGTGGATTCAGACACGGAGGAAGCAAACCTTGATTGGAGAGGAGCTGGCACAGAGACTTTGATGTTGAAGCCGGGTTCATGTGGAACAGTGTTCTCTTTCAGATGTCATTTTTCATCCTCTGGGAGGAACACAAACCCCTTTTGTGTCCTCTGTCTAACCATCTATGGTTTTCTTAGCAGTTGGGCAGAGATGCCCACAGGCACGCAGCACTGTGCATGGGACAGCAGTCTGCTTTGTGACACAGGTTCTTCCTAAGAAGAAGTCAGAGTGTTTCTGGATGTCACATAAGCCACACTCACACTTTTACCTCCTCCAGAATGAATTTATTGCATCTGTTTTTCACCCCTAGGAACTGGGGGCTGTGTGAAGATGTCTTTTAACATGCTATCATTGTTCTGTGTTAAGTCAGGCACACTTTGAAAAGCTGCATTTCTCCCTAGGCCAGAAACATCATTGAGGAGTCGGTACACAAGATCGTGTCCTTGCTGGCAGAGTCCGAGGCTGTGGCTGAGAGACTTCTGTCTGAGAGAGCCCTGCTCACCGCACATGGCTGCTACCAGGCAGCTGTGACACACTTCCGCACGCACTGCTTCAACTGGCACTCCTCCACGGTGAGCCCTGGGCCTCCCGCATCTGAAATCCTAAAGGGAACTTAGGTGCAGTAGCTTGTAGAAGGTTCCATCCAGGCTGAGGAGGGAGTGGACTCATGTCAGCAGTCTTAGATGAAATGAGAGGAAAACGGATGTCCAAGTTCACCAGCCTTCCATCTTGGCCCGGAGCACTTACGGTCTGTCCATGTGATGACCATCGCCATTCCTATTGGCTGGGAAGGGCGCTTACTTCTCTTCACACTGTTGCTATCCCTGCCAGAGCCCGCCCCTCACCCCAGTCTTCACATCAGCCACACAGGGTTTCTCCTGCAGAGTCTCTTCCAATCTCTCCCCAAGATTTATTGTTAAAGTCAGACCCTGGCCCATGGAGGGGAAGGAAGATAGAAGTTTCTGCAGATAGTAGAATGTCAATACTACGGGATGTTTGCATCCAGCTAGACAAAGGTTGGCCCCACCTGTGGCCTGTTTCTCCTACCCCAAGTCTGTTTTCTCATGGAAAGTTATGCTGAAACACAACCATGCTTAGGACAGCCACCCGCTGTCCTTAACTGTCTGCACACCTCAGCAGCGTGGGCCCCTGATATCGTTGTGTCGCCCCACTCTGCTCTTGCTTTCTGGTCTCTAGAATTATGCAGAGGGACTCCCCTCTTCCTCATGGATGTTCTCACGCTCCTCTGAAGTTTTCTTAAGATCATCTCCCTGGTTATTTCAGTTCTGCCTGCTATAATCCAGTTTGGCGTTCATGTACCATCTGCCTCCCTCCTCAGTGTGTCTCCCACAATCTGAAGGCAGGCTTCCAGACCAGGCCTTGCTAGCAGGGTAGGCTCTTGGGAGTTCCAACAGGAGTCCTTCCTTTGAATTGGCCCACTTGTTAGGAGGCCTGCGGCCCCTTGCATGTGTGGGATTTTCCTGGGATATAGTCTGTACGTATCACTAGATTATCAAAAGGGAAAAAGGGCCAATAATCCCTGTCTCATTTTTTGTAACTACAAAAAATGGCATTTTTCCAATTATTGTTGGGAGGCAGAGATCAGGAGGCCAGTGTGGGCAAAAAGTGAGACACTATCTCAACAAATAAGACAGACATGGTAGCACATATCTGTAATCCTAGCTATGGAGAAGCAAAGAGAGGAGGATCCTGGTCCCAGGCAAAAACATGAGACCTTACCTAAAAAAATAACTAAAGCAAAATAGGACTGGGGGTGTAGCTTAAGTGGCAGAGCACCTGCTTAGCAAGCATGAGGGTCTGAGTCCAAACCCCCGTAGGACCAAAAAAGGAGCTGATTGCATAGTGAGATGATGTTGTTTCTTCTTCTTTTCCCTCCAGTATGAGTATGCTCTGAGACAGTTGTACGTGCTGGCCAACCTTTGTGAAAAGCCTTATCCCATTGACAGGTAAAGCACACAGGACATTTGAAATATGGGTGTCACAGTGAAAGCAGAAGGGAGCACAATGCTGTTCTTCGTGTGAGCAGCGGTTTTGCTTCTGCCAGCTGCTGCCCGGCTTTGCCCTAGTGACATTTGTCCATGGGTTTGAGAGTGGTGGTATCCTCTGTGCTGATTGCTGGGTGGATGGCCCACCCATGACTCCTGCTGCATCTTGGCTGTGGTTGTCTTACTCTCTTTTGGGTTGACCTCACTCACCAAACTTTTCCTGTCTCTTAACAGGATAAAAGTATCCATGGACAAAGTGTGCCTTGGTCACTACTGAAAAGCTGCCTTCTGGATGCTTCTCCAAGTGTGAATACCATCCTGTAGAATGTGTGCTAACTGGAGCCTAGAGAGGTGACCTCCTGGGAATACTGTTGGGCCACTCTGTCCCTCCCAGGCCCATCTTTTGCAGGACATTTGGTCACCTTCCCTGACTTCCCCAGTCTTCCACAGACACCTGTGAAGCTCTAAAGAAACTACAGGGTGGGTGGCAAAAGCTCTGTGTGGCGAAAGGGCTTTTTGCTTCTTAGGAGGTTTTTTTGCCCTTTAGTTTTCAAGAACAAGAGGCCCACTGGAGGCTTCTGTAGCCAGCGAAAGAATCTTTGTTCTGAGAAATTTGCAACTGAAACCTCGTTAAGTGTTCAAAATGATTTTCTTGATTTTCTTGAAGGGGGCTGTTAGCCCCAAAGGGAAAATTATTTTTAGCAAATATAACTTTTGATTGCTTTTGTATTTTATTCTTCAATAATGGACAAGCCTTAAAAAAAATAAAGATTTATAACAGAAGCTGAAGATGTGTTTCTGGTGCCCGGCTTTGTGGCTTACACTCCTGGCCTGTGACCTTCCGCCTTTTCCCACCTCATCTCCTCCCACCGCTCTGCTCTTTTCCGCTCCTCTGCACATGGTGCACCGCCAGTCTTCTGTGCCTTTGCAATCTGCTGTTTCTCTTGCCCTGGATCTCTTTCCCTTCTCCCCAGACACTAGGGCCTAAAGTGCCCTTCTTTCTTGAACTTTCCTTGTTGTCTCCCTCTCTCCACTTAGCTTGAATCTGGCTCATGTGTTGAAGGCTTGGTCCCCAGCTGGTGACTGGTGGGAGTTGCTGGCAATTTTAGGAGGAGGGGCCTGCCTAGAGGAAGTGGGTCACTGGGGATGGGGCCTTTGAAGGATATACTTGGTTTCCAGTCTTCCTTTCCCTGTCTCATGATCACTAGAAAGTAAAGAATCTTCCACTGTCACACCCTCCCTTCACCATAATGTCCTGCCCAAGCCCCTGGGGCCAAGCAACCATGGACCAAAGACTCTGAAACTGTGAGCCAAAATAAATCAATTCCTCCCTTCAGTTATTTTGTTATGCATTTTGTCACAGTAACAAAAATCTAACACAGAAACCCTCCTTACTAGTGCCATTGCCTTGGTCCCTCTGCAGGTCATGCATCTCTCAAGTAGCATCAGTGCCTGTCTTTAGGTACAAAGCAGGGAGTGGACATCGCACTGGAGAAGGTGATCTCCTCCTGGGCAGAGGCCATTGACTTACTTGTCTGTGTTCGCCTGGCTAGGTTGCTGCACACAAGGTCCTGTTAAAGACACATGAAATCAACACTAACAACTGACGACATTATTGCTCTAATATGCTGGGATTTTCAGGTGGTGAGGGTCCTTTTTTCTGCACATACATAGGAAGGAGATGGGGGTGTTTCTTGGGAAGGAGATGGGGCATTTCTCCCTGACTAATCTCCATCTTTGGGGAACACCTGGCCCTCCCACAGTCCATCCTTCAAGTTTCCCCTCTCAATGATCGCCCTCACTGCTATTAGGAACTGGGATGGTGAAGTCTATTTAATGACTACTTCCTGCTGAAAGGGGGCAACGAAGGGGCAGGAGGCATCAGGCTGACCACTAGAGCAGTTATTGCGGGGACACAATAATAGGTCGTCTATTTTTATCAGCATCTGTAGTCTGGTGGATTCTAGGTGAGAACAAACAAACTTGACAAGTGTAGAAGGCAAGGTCAAACACAAGTAAGAGAATAATGGCAACTCTAAGACCCAGAAAGGATGATGTCGTAGAGGGGAGCTGGGATTTTATTTGATCCCAGGCCTATGTGGATACTTGAGTTTTGAGGGACTCTTCCCAGAGCCACTTAGCCCGTTGGAGAATGCAGTGTGTATTTTTTTTTATACAATGTCTGAAGTATTTATATGTGTGACAGGAAATGTTGGCAATTGTACATACCCTTCCCTGTTTAGCCAAAAGAAAATCCAAGACTTTGGTCCATGAGTCCAAGAAAAAACCCCATTATTTAAGTCCAAAACTAAAAACATCACCTGTAAGTACCATAGGACATGTCTGGAGCCATGTCCTTTTTCTATTAAAGTAGAAGATTCTGGCCAAAAATATAAGCTGTGCCTAGAGGGCTTTAATGTCAGATAGCCACACATGTATAAGAATCACTTCTTTAACCCTCTTGGCTTGAGCAGTCTCCTCGGAAGATTTTTCTGATTGGTCATTTTGATCCTTCCTGTTGAGGATTAGCTTTCTCTTTAAGTGTCCCACGTGGGTGGGTGGAAGCAACAAGCAGGTCAGGTGGGAGTCAGTGTCAACTAGACCCTTTTGGCCAAATTTAGGCAACAAAGGGACTTAGAAGGTGTTGCTCTGAGGCAGTGGGCTTCTAGGTAACGACAATAAAAGATAAAATCTAAAGCTGACTTGGTTGACAGACAGGTACCTGTTAGAGTCATTTTTTATGGACTTGATTATAAATGTTCCAGAAGGATCAGAACTGTAATGACAAAAAATTAAAAGAGCCATGCTTAAAATTCTGATGGACAATTTAGCAACTAACAGAACAGTATGTTAGTACCACTGACACTTTGTTACAGTGTTTATCTAAATTTTGTATTTTAGAAGGCCTGATAAACTTGAAAATGCAAATATACTTAATATGTAGGAGCCAGCACCAGCATCACAGCTCTCTATAGTGAGCTCCACATCCACATGAGTTCATATTGACACAGCCAAGGCTAATTCATTACCGTGTGGACCATTTTACCTTTCTGTCTTTTCTTTTCTCATTTCTTTCTCTTTCTTTTTCTTTCTTTCTCAGTAAACACTAGATGATAATTATTAAGATATTTAAAATTTACACTTCATCAGTAGAGTTTTTAAAAAAAATCTACTTGGCAGAAAGACCACTTAAATATGAAGCATTCTGAGCAAAAATCAATATATAGCATTTGCTATATATCTTTAGATATCATATTTTAAATTTACATTTAAAAACACAAAGGAACAAATTTTCTACAATTTTTAGAACATGAAAGATATGATACACAACTTATTACAAATATAATCCCAACAAAACAGCTTTCTTTTAAAATGAATTCTCTTTTTGTGCTCTTCAGTTAAAGCGAACTGTCAGCAGCTTGTTTTGAGAGCTCTGAGTCTCTTGTTGGAGATCACAGAAGGTCTGGGGAATCAGAGGAAGTAGGAAATTGGTGCCAGGAAGTAATTTCCTTCCTTGAACACTCCACAGGGAGTGCAGAGCTATGATTACCTAAGATGGCATGGAAGCTGCAGCTGGAATGGCACTTTGCTAAATTTGGCAGCCCAGGGGGAAAATGAAACTTTTTAAGTCAGGAAGTCTGCTTTGGTGAACGTCTCTATCTGTCTGTCATGCTGTCCTTTGTCTGTAATTCTGAGAGGGGTATTGAATTCTCCAATATAAAATAAGTATTAATGGCTGATGGAACTGCAAACAGAATAAGGTATTTTTGTAGTCTCTACCAGGAATCATTTCCTCCAGACGAAAATGTGAGTCCAGGATTGGGAATTCTTTCTGTTTTCTCTTTCTCTTTTTTGGAAGCACTGGGATTTTGAACTTTGGGCTTTTTTGGGCTTTGCACTTCCTAGGCCAGTGCTCTACCACTTGAGCCACACCTCCAGCCCCTTTCTGTCATTCTTAACTGTGAATTCCCACTCTATGAAGGAAAAACATGGCACCCACTACCCATCGTCCACTTGATTGTTTGGTTCAGTATACATGTGTAGCTGTCTCAGAATGGCTCCCCACTGAGAGAACACCTTTATCAACTAGAGTACAATTCTTTCATGCAATTTCTTTTAATTGCCTTTATTCTTACAGACTCATTTCCAAAGCTCCTTAGGCCAGCTCCTTGTCCTTTATAAGATAGTTAACATTCTTTTGTAGCAGACTATAATCCACTCTGGGACCCCTTAACTTCTAAAGAGGTATTTTAAAATTTGCACACGTTAAGGGTCACCCTTTATATGAAGTTCTGTCTATTTTGACAAATGCATTATGTGCAGGATCCACCATTTCATTTTCATCTAGAGTAGTTTCAGTGCCTGAAAAATCCCCTGATGTCAGCTACTCAACCTTTCTTTTCTCCTCATCCCCAGCAACCATAGATCTTACTGTCACTAGAGTTAGCCTTTTCCAGTTGTCTTCTTTCACTTAGTAATAGGCATTTAAGTTTTTTCCAGTCTTCTCATGACTTGATAGCTCCTGTTTTTGTTTGTTTGTTTGTTTTTTGGCAGTACTGGGGTTTGGTCTCACACTTGCTAGGCAGCTGCTCTACCACTTGAGCCACTCCACCAGCCATTTTTTTGTTGGGTATTGTTGAGATAGGGTCTCTTGAACTATTTGCCCTGACTAGCTTTGAACTGTGATCCTCTTGATCTCTGCCTCCTGAGTAGCTAGGATTACAGGTGTGAACCACTGGCGCCTGCCTGGTGATAGCTCTCATTTTTATCACTGAATTCCATTCTATGGGTGTTCCATAATTTGATTATTACTACTGAAGGACATCTTGGTTACTTCCAGCTTTCAGAGATTTTAAATGAAGCACTGAAAGCATTCATTTAATTGTGTAAATCATAGTACAATGATTGCTAGATCACAAAACTGGTTAGCGTTGTGAGAGACACTGAAGTGTCTTCCGAGGTGACTGCACTTTTCTGTCTTCCCATGGTAGTCAGTAAGAGTTCTTCTTGCTCTGTCTCCTCACCAAAATTTGTCAGTTTGTTTTTTTTTTAATTTTAGACATTCTAATAGGTGTGCTGCTATAGTTTGTATGACAAATGTCTCCCAAAGGCTCATCTGCTAAAAGCTTGGTTGGTGCTATTGGGAGATGGTGGAAGCCTTCAGGAAGTGGGGCTTAGTGGGGGTCTTAGGTCATCGAGGGCTTATCAACAAAGGGATAAGAGGACCCCAGCCTCTTCCTCTTCTTCCTTCTTGCACCTGGCCACATGGTATGTGGGCTTCCTCCACTACATGTTCCCACTATGAGGTATTATGCTATCACAGGCCTGAAGCAACAGGGCCCGTAGGCCATGGAGTGAAACCTCCAAAACTGTAAGCCAAAATGAACTTTTCCTCTTTATAAGTTGATTGTCTCAGGTGTTTTGTTACAGTAACAGAAAGCTAATATATATATATAATATCATCTCATTGTTTTTATTTTTGATTCCTTAGTGACAAAGGATATGGACTTATACACTTATTTTTGCTATATCTTTTTTTAAAATTATTGTGCTGGTGGGGGTGCATTGTAGCATTTACAAAGGTTCTTACACTGTATCAAATATATCATACTTGAATTCAACACCTCCACTGCTCTCTTTTATCCCCCTCCCTGTCTGTGTATCTTTGGTGAGCAGTCTGTTCAGGTGTTTTGTCCATTTTTAATTGAGTTTTCGTATTTTGAAGTCTATTCTTTGTATATTCTGCATACAAATTAT